GGAATTAGAAATGTTGACTTTGGAAAACTTACAATTTAGAAATTCTAAGAGTCTACAAAGATAGGAATCTAGAATTTTTTAAACAGGAAATTTTGGGATTTGAAAATTTGGAAATGTAGGTTAGAATTATTTGTACATACATTTAAAAATTTTATAAAATTGAAACATCGGAAATTTGGAAGTTTAACGTTTGGAAATTTGGAGATTTCAACATTTCAACATTTCAACATTGGAAAATTGAAAATTTGCGTTTTGAAAATTGAAAACTCTGAATCTACAAAAATGCGCAAATCTAAGAATTTGGAAATTTATAATTTAAAAATTTATAAATTTGAGAATTTACAAATGAGGAATCTGGAAATTTGCAATTTGGTAAGACTGATGTTTAGCAACTTGAGAGTTTAAAAATAAAGAACAGAAAACAAAGAATTTAAAAATAAAGTAGCACACAAAATAAAGTAGCAGACAAGTATATATAGAAAAATTTTTTATGTTTTTACAAAATTTTCACTTTGCTTCACATTGCACCCTGACATTTTCTTTCGTAAAATGGTGCAAAAAGACGACCTATGTGAAAACAAGATAGTTTAGTCTCATTAAAAAACAGTATAATCCACTTTTAGAAAATTGACACCGTTTATTGATTGTTTGAGTCATTAAACACATAAATGTATTAAGTTGGAATATAATTCACATTTTGTAAGATATTTTAAATTTTTGTATAAAATGTTTAACCTTTTAACCTTTAACGTCACTCTGGATTATGAAACGAACCCAGCCAATTTAGCTACAATTTCAGCTCTTATATCCTGGAAATCTGAATAAATACCTTTTTTGAAACACCGGCATTTTTACTATTTTTTTCCTCGGACTGTTATATTTCAAGAGTGTTCAGCTAAAATTTTAGCTCTTTATACTAAAATCGAAAAAAAATTGAATTCTTCTGTAGAAACCGTGATTTTTCAATTTTTTTACGTTTCTGAATATTTTTTCATATTCAACGTTTAAATTTACTGAAATCAGCTGTGCAAGGTTCGAACACCTTTCAAAATTATTTATAAATTTTTTTAATGACTGGAGTCTTAAACGTCCCAGAAATGTTGCTGGAGAGGATTAATTTAAAATATTTCATGACTTATTCTTCAATATTAAACTTAATACTACATTTCTTGTTAAATATTATGAAGAATTAATTTCCATGAAAAGACATATGCAATTTTATTTTAAAAAATGGCACATATGCATTTGTCTTATTCACCGCTGCATTTATAAAAAATAGGTGTAGAAATATGTATAAATCTTATGTAATTCAACTATTTCGCAGGTTGTTGACACTCAAAATAATATGAAGAATATTCTGCGAAAGTTTCGTCGAAGTTATATACAATTAAAATTCTAATGCAGAACTCAGACGATCCATGTATAATTACAGACGTATTCACTTATTCAATAATATGTAAATAGTAAATGTATATTTACTTATTCATTTAGTAAGTCTCATAAGATTAATATAAACCTTGATTAAAATGGTTGCATCACAAACGCACTTTCGCATGAGAATGTTTAAAAACTAAATAGATGAAAATAATCATATTGAAAAATTAATGAAATTTGAAAAAAAATTAATCGTACTTGAACAAGAATAATTCTAAAATTCCTTCAGTTTTCTAAAATTCCACACTGCCACATTCCATATTACCAACTTATAATTTATAATTTTTAAAGCTTAATATTAGCAATTTTTTTCAATATTCAATCTGAGAATTCAATTATTTGAAAATAAAGGTATTTAATATATAGATTTATAAAATTCTATATTACTGAATTCCTAAATTTTTTAATTTCTGTATTTCAAATTTGAAAATTTCGAATTACCAAGTCTTCTAACTTCGACATTTCTAAGTTTATAATTTTCCGAATTTTTGAATATTTAGAAGTTGAAAATTTAGAAACATAAAATTTAATATTTCGAAATTTCCAACATTATAAATAATTATATTTATAAATTGTTAAATCTCGGTATTTTCAAATTCTAAATTATTAATGCATTAAATTTCCCAATACAAAACTACTAAATTTGTCAATTTAAAAATTTAGTAAAATTTACCAGATTTGTAAATTTGTAAATTTTTCTATATCGAAATTACCAAATTACCAAATTACCAAATTACCAAATTACCAAATTTTCAATTTACCAAATTACCAAATTTACCAAATTACTAAATTTCTAAATTTCTAAATTGTTAAACTTCCAAATTACCAAATTTATGAGTTCGAAAAGTTTAAATCCACACTGCACAACGGTGGCCGTGAACTCTTCGGTGAACTTGTTCTGTCCATCACTGATATAGAACATACTGACACCATGAAATCTTTCCTTATACCGTACTAGCTGAAGTTTCAAGTCCGTATCCCCTTAAACTGTTGTTTCGACGCTCGAAATTCGTATAGTTTGGATTTTGAAGAGTTTTACGGCCACGCTATATCATGTCGAAAGTCATATACGAGAGAAATGGACCAAAAGAGAGGAAAGCCACGTCGACGATATGGTGACGTTACAGTCTAGTATAAATTGACCCTTATGCGCTGAACTGCACAATACTAAATCGAAATTGGGCGTTATCCAATGGTCTAATATTTATCTAACGATGAAAATAACTCTGTTTATTCGTTTCTTTAGACGTATAAATTCGAACGATTGTTTTATTTATCGATTAATATGAAATTAAGTACCCTTTCCATTGCCGAGTAATTACGTACATCAAATGTTATTTTATTTGGAAAATCGTGTGATGCTTTATTTCGAATAAAAATTTGTTTTATAATCGATAGTTACTTATTTCAAGTAACTACTTAATCAAGTAACGTTAATAAAATAAATAAAATGAAGCAATACTTTTTTAGTCGTATAAGTTAATAATTAAGGTAATTTCTTTATCGAATATCAATAATAATAAATTTTCTTAAATTATTATTTTTTCATATTTTTAAGCCACTTTCAATACAAACATTACATACTTTTATATTATATTTTTACCATTTTTATAAAATATCAAGTGATTTTTTTTAAATTGATTACTGTTTTTTTGACAATACGTCACTGCTCCTAAAGAAAGGAAGTTGTTTTACAAATTTTTGATAATAAAATGCTTTATGCTTATTTAAAATAAAAATTGATTCTGGAATTGTTTAAAGTAACATAATAGAGTTAAGAATTAAGGTATTTTAAATAATCATTTAATGCATTATTTCTTATTTGAAATTAATTTATATTCTCAAATAACTATTTTCTTAAACAAAAAATCCCTAATTCTATACTAAAAGATAATGCACTCTCTTTCATTATTTTTGTACTTTTTCTACTTTATATTTTATCGTGCTGAAATATTTGCTTTGTACGAACATTTCCTTACTGCGTTTTTTAATTAAAAAATTGCACAATTTTAGTCTTCCGGTTTTATATTTAAGGAATTTGTAAATTCCAATTATGTAATTGCAATTTGATATTGTACATACTACATAATTCACTATTAATTAAAGATTTACATACAAACACACTGTAACTAAGACTTGGATTTTAAACATTTCATGTAAAGAACAGTACGTGAAGAGCACTAGTATTTCAATTTTCTTAACAAAGATCATGTTTAACAATACATATGTAAACCTCATGAGAAATCCCACTGGAGACTGAAACATCGTTCTTTAAAGGAATAAAAAATAATATAACCTAATAACCTCCTATTAGATTTCTGCCTTAGTTCATGATTTCTAAAAATGACAAACAAACTTCCGTTTTAAAAGCATTTTTTATGTGTCTCACCAATTGAACTAAAAATATTAAACATATCACAAAAATGTTCAAATCTACATGTAGTATGAAACAAATCCCAAAAGTTAAACTTTTTCTTTTAAATAATTTAATAATTATACGCAAATAATAAATTAAGTTTTATAAGAAACAAAACTTGTATGTCATCAAAAAAATCTACTTATATTCAAATAGAATTATTTTTCTTAAAAATAAGTCAAAACAATTGAATAATCTTCTACGTACATTAACTTAGTTATGTAACATTAAACATAGAAAAAAATATTTATAAAAATGTAATATAAAAAATAATATAAAATATGGCATTAAGCATAGGATAAAATATCAACCTATCTATAGAGCTCTGTCCTTTATTATTCACTTATTATGAATGCTAAAAAAAGAAAATTTAACGTAGAATTTCCGACCACGATCATTTATTTGCGAAAAGAAATTTACATATACCGTTACATAGATATGAATATGAATACTGTTACGTATCTCACTTTTCACGAAAAAATTACATTAATGAAAACTATTTTTGTCACTAAGTAATAAACCCTTCAAAAATGCGACACTTTTTAAGTTGGGTAAAGTGATCTGATGGAATCAACACTTCAACCTCGGATGGGATCATTACGGCCGTTTCCATGTCTTCCTCGCACTTTAATATTTTTAATATCTCTATACTAAACTGTTAAGAAACTTATGACAATTTGAGAATTTGAATTCAAGAACATGGATATTTAGGAATTTACAGATTTAAAAATTTGACATTTCAAACTTAGTACCTTGAAAATTTCAAAAGTTTTAACGTGGAGTATTCTAGAACAAGATAAGGAACGGTCAAGTTATAGGATGCTCGGAGATGCGGTAACGTCGAAAGAAAAACAGCAAAGCCAAGTAGGTACAGTGGGGGTTGTTCCCCTACGGCTCAGTAGAATGAGAAAGTAGGAATGATAGCCAAATATGGTCCGCAAGCCGCCACTTGGCCATGGCTTGAGAAAGAAACATTTTTCTTTAGAACAAAATTGCCGGGGTTCTAGTGTTAATTAATGTCACCGGTCACTGATCCTCCTCCCTCCCCAGCCTATCTCCTTACTAACAGTGACACGTAAACAAATCAAACGATGTCATTTTTTCTTAGTATACTATAGATAAATCGGTTAGTAACGGAAACACAACTTACCGGTAATGACGTCAGCTGTAGAAGGTAAGCCGAATCTTGAATTTTCTCCGCGAATAGTCGATCTTGGCTTGAATAATTTACCGCTTCACTCCCGAGTGAAAATCACGTACATGTGGGCGCGCGATCACGCACACATACGCACGGGTCCACATATGTGACTATACCAGCCGATCTATTTATAAATTCTATATCGATTTTAAAAACTTTCGCAGAACACGCTACTCCACAACATTACTGTATGTTGCGAACTTTGCTTCTCACAGGTTTTTCTTTTACTAATATTTCTTCTTCTTTATCATTTCCCTTCTTAATTCACTCACTGCCTTTTCTTCATTTCGTTGTTACTCCTTGTTCCTGTCGTTTTCGTTTAACTCTCTTTCTTCTTTGTTTATTACGTACACTTTCATGCGTTCCACACAACTTAGGTATCGTAGTACACTCGTAAAACACAATTTAATCGACTTTCGAAATTCCTTTCTTATGTTGTTGCTCCAGCGACGATTTCTGCGGATAACAGTTGGAGAAACATGAAATTAATGCTTTAGCGTTTATCCTCTTCGCGAATTAAATATGGACGGTACATAAAAAGAAGCGCGATCCGTTTCTGTCCGCGTTTCTGTTTTAAATTTATACAGACACAAAAAACATTGATTACATGATTTGAAAAAATCTAAATCCAAAATTTCAATGAAATCACATATTGCATATAAGCGTGTTCGATTGAAGACTGTCAAATTTTAATGTAAAATGAAATTAAGAACTTTTAGGTTATGTACAATCATTACGCATGTACAATACAAAAAAAAAACTGTGTGCGTGGTCAACATGCGCGTTAGAAGTGAAATTTAATACGAATAGAAATTTGGGCTTTTTAAATGGAGGCATGTAAAAATTAAAAAATTCGGGAATTCGTGAATTTATTTGTAGTTTTTGTAAATTTGTAAATTTCTCAATTTTGACATTTGGAGATTTGTAAATTTTGTGTACTTGTATATTTGTAAATTTGTAAATTTGAGAATTTAGAAATTTGGGAATTTAAAAATATGAAAATTTGAGAATTAGAGAATTTGGAAATTGAAATATTAGAGATCTAAGAATTAAAAAATTTTAAAGTTTGGAAATTTAGACACTTGGAATGTTGGAATCTGAAAAATATGAAAATTTGGAAATGCACTAACACGGGAATTTAAAAATGTAGGTATTTGAAGATTTACAAATTTTTTAATATAAGCATTTAGGAATTTGAAGATACATACATTTGGAAATATGAAAATTAGTCAATTTTGGGGATACATAAATTTAGAAATATGAAAACTTATGAATTTAGAAATTTGAGAATTTGTCATTTTTAGAATTATAAAATTTTAAATTTAAGAATTTAGAGATTTGAAAATTTGAGTATTTGGAAATTTGGAGATCTGAGCATTAGGAACTTAGAAATTAGACAATTTGAAAATGTAGAGATTTGGGAATTTGAAAGCTTAAAACTTTGGGAATTCGGGCTCAGATTTAATGGTCGACCGTAACACTCGCGTGCTAAATTGCGGACATAAATTTCACTTCAAAAATTACTCTTTTCAGGAAAAACCGTGTACCGCTTTTTTTGCAACACACAAAAATTTAAATAATTCCCCAATCACTATTCAGAATTATTTTAGCGTGTTTAAAAAAGTATACCTTCATTAGTGTGGAGTAACGCGACGCGGCTTTTACGTGACGAATTCTCGTTTGCATTATCCTTTCGCCGACGTTTTTTAATTGCGTGTCACCGTTTACTACTCATTATGAACATTTAATCGAAATAAAGGGCAAAAAAAAGAATGATAGAAAATAAACGATCTGATTGTTTTAGCTCGAAAAGGAGAAAATCGAGGTGGAACTAAATCAAATAGGAAAAAAGGGAGGGGTGAAAAGGTGATCGCGAAAGATGCCGCGTTGCCGTCGCTGCGAACGCCAATTTTGTCTTCTTTTAACCGACTGACCCTATCACCGATTGGGCGGAGCGCGTTGCACTCCACTTGTTCTCACAACTTCCGGTTCAGCTGTTCGCACAAAGGTCCGCATATCTTTCAGTGCCCCGCTCTCCACGAGAGTCTTGGCTACTATTTCTCTGTCTCCTGCTTTCTCTTTCTCTACTAACACTCGGAATCAGTGCGGATATATCTCGTAGAAATGCAACCGCTCGAGAATCTCATCACTGCCACGTGGCTTACTACACTGAACGCGAACACTGTATTCCACTCCCGGTTTCTCGTTGCCGTTAAAAACACTATCATTTCCGCTGTTGTTGCCAGTAGCAACTTGTATATCGATGTTGTTGTCGCTGCTACTACTGTTGCTGATGCTATTACCGCTACCGCTACTGTCGTTACTGCTACGATATTCGTTATCGCTTCCACAGTGTTGTAATGTTATCGACAGACCCGCTTTCATCGCGGTTCTATCGCGCTGTCGATGAACCGTTATTTCGCAGTTCTGAAGCGACGACGTTTCTTCGCTGGTAACCTAGCACAGTGCGTGTACGATGCACGCACTGTGCACGTTTCCCGCGCACGTGAGCCAGCGCCTCTAAGGGAAAAGAATATTGGATGACTTTCAATATGGCAGAACGAGAAACAGATACACGCGCGCGGTTTTCACGCGTACACGTAATCACACGTACTCACACGCGCACATTCAACTTGACTACCGTACGAAAAAAAAATAACCGAATCTCAACGTTCTGCTTTACAAGTTTTTTTTTTTTAATATCGTTCGATTTTTATCTTTCACTGCTCTTCAGTCACTATTTCTCCTTTTTTATTTCCTACGTTTCGTTTCCATCCGTCCACCAATAACGTATGCTCAACGTCGTCAGATGTGTGTTTAGTCGTGCGTCTTTCTCTTTTCAACGTGTAACCATGGCTCTCAAAACTTTCACACGACCACTTCATGCGTTCAGATGTTTCATGATCAGCCCACCACTCTTCGTTCTTGTGTCTTTGTAACAGCGGTGGCAGCAACGGCAGTAGCTCGGCAGTGTTCCTGCAAACAAAATTGTTCTTTATTGACACTTTATTTCTTTGTTTTACTTATCAACAACTACGTAATTTTAACATTATTTTGTATTTAGATGTGTCTCTTTTTTTTGCTTAAATTATCACCGATGTTATCAATGTCTTTAACCCTTAACTGGTGAGCAGTCTAGGAGACTTTGACTCTGTCTAGATATGACTTTTTTAGACTATGCATGCACAGTGACGTAAACAATTTTTTACAATTCCGAAACAATTTTTACAACAGATAAAGAAATAAACGATATTTCGGTTTGTAATGAGTTTATTTCCAAATAATTCTGTTAATTAGTTGTAAAATTGCAATTAGTACAACATTTTACTTTACACCAATATGGCGTAATTTTGAATGACGTCGGAAAATCATTTTCGAATATTTTTTGACGTTTCGTTATGTTATGTTATGGTTTCCAGAATAATAAACTTCAAAATCTTTCAATATATTAGTAAGGAAATTCGTTCAGCAACATAATGATAATTTCAACAACTTTTTCATTAGTTTAATAACCAATGAATGATATAAATTAATATAATGTTAAAATAAATTATTATTAGTATTCTCTGGCATTGTTAATGTATAAATATATAGCATAACGGTTGAAAGTAAGAAATACATAATAATAATGTTAGCAATACTGAATAATGTATTTATTAACTTATAATATTCATTGGTTGTTAAATTATTGCACTAAAACAATTGGTTTACAAATGTACTTAAACATTTTTTAACTCATTTTTCTAAGAAACGAAGCCGAATATAAAAAATATTTTTCAATTTCGACTTATTTTTGCACGCAGAATCGCCATACTTATCTACCACAATTTTCGGGACCTTTTATATAATAGAATTTCAATAACATTGAATACTGCATTATAATAATCAGACATTTAATCTAAATCTAACTCAAGACTAACTCAAGTTCAACTAATACATTTTCGTAGTTTTTATTCAATTTATTTTTATCATCCGAATACATAAAGAATACAAATCTTCATAATTTTTAGAAAATGTGAAAGTCTTTAAGCGCATGTCCCTAAACTAGGGGTAAATCCTCCGTTTGCTCAAAGTTAACAGCGTTACTGCCCGTCAGGTGCGCCCCGTGTTCACATGCATTACTCATGCAGGCACATTTTCATCACTCCGTCGCATAGATAATCAATGAATGTATAGCTGTGTTCACCTGCGAATTATTGAGCGACTACCATAATTTCTAGATTAATAATTTATACAAAATATTGACTGTAAAAATCTGTGTTATAAAAAAAAATTGTGTTCTAATACAATAATAACCATGTATGCGCTTTTACCCAATGAACATTTTAAAGAAAAAATTGATTCACTAACAAAATTTAGAAACACGAAACAAATTTAAAAAGAAAATATTATGTAATATTTTGTAATAAGCAATCCACCCAACAATAATGCTTCTAATGATTTATGAATATACGCATAATGGCAAACATCCAAAACAACAGTACATGTACATATATTTCGTAACACAATAAAAACGAATTAAAAGTTTTTAAATGAAAAATCACAAATTTGCAGAATGTAAGAAACGTGAAAAGTCTAAGCTATGCAAATTGAAAATAGAGTTTCTTGTGATTTATATTTCGTTAGTTAATAAATTATATTATATGGATTCTATGAATGATAGAAATTTGGTGATCGCATACATAGGTCATTAAGCACATAAATATCGAAAATTGATGTGCAAACTAATATTTGGTGATCACAAAATATACGAGTACTAAATTTAAATGTAACTTCTGCATAATATGTATTTCGCTCTCTTACGATTAATATTTGAACGCCACATACCGGAAGTTAGATCTTGAAACATTCAATCTTATCTTCAAAGTGAAATATCAAGTTGAAAACAGAAAGGTTAAGGACTTGTATCTCAATTACTGCAAGTAAAAGTTTTACTGAAGTATTTTAGAACTGATGTGTTTTAAGTATAACTTAAAATAAATATTGCTATATTCTATCTATACTATTGCATAAAGGAGAACGGTATTAACGTGTTCTGCCAATTACATATTAACACGCATACAATTTTCTCGGTATAGTTATCAGATATCGTGTTTAAAGCTGAAATATGTAATTACGCAATAGAAGGAATTGATATTTATAACCTTTGTTCAATAAATAATTTTTGCCAATTAATAATAGTTGTAAAATACCATGTATTACGTAAACTCAGTAACTTTGATGTTATCTAATCTTTTTATACTTTCCGCGACAAGAATGGAGGTCTTTTACCTTGCAACGTAAATCTACAGCTTATATTTCGTAAAGTGTATTAACAATGCATTTGTAAGTCTTGACTTACGAAAAATGGCGAAATAATGAGACACAACTAAAAGACAAATTAATGCAAACTACAAGAACAATTATGAAAATTTGGCAAAAAGAGATTTAAATTTTTAACTGACGTTAACAGCAAAAAATAATTTTATATTTGTATTAGAAAAATTATATATTAGTACAAATTTTTAAATGGGTAAATAACTATCATTAGTGTATTTCTTTATCTCTTTTCCTGGGTGTCTGTATTACTAAATTATTCGATTCTTGAATATTTTATTTTGAAATACCCTTCTCCAAAATTTTTCATAATCAATTTTTAACTAAGAACTTTAATTCCACACTAATGGATTCTATTTCAATCGAGTTAAAAATATTACAATAGCATTTTTAATTAGATTTATACGTAACAGAATAATTACGAAATATATCAATTTTGTTTTATCGACGTCACAGTGTATTAGAAATTATAATTAAAATAATAAATATAGCACAACCTCATTCAATTCATCCAGTGCCAACGAGTGTAAGAGAAATATTCATGACGCCTTCAATTTCGATTTTGAAAATACTTCACAAATATTTGCAAGCGAGCGAAATTATCAAATTTTTCTTTATCGACAATATCTCAAGTTTCATACGTTGAATTATTCTCAAATTTTAATCGTCTCGACAAATATTATAAAGGCAAATTTCGTAATTTGTTAGAATCATATTATAGTTATCTGTAAACATTTGTAGACCAGCAGTGAAAATGTTTTAAAAAACTTGTAATGTGATACTTATTGATACACATGAAAAAAAGAAGAAAAATTCTATAATTGAAATGTATATGAAAATGTTAATTCTATAGTGGTATATTGATAACTAAATACAATTGTAATAATTTCTTGATATCAATTCATTTATTGAATAAGATGAAAAATATATACATTTCATTCCTGAATTGATTAAATTAAGATAACTATTATAATTGAAATAATGTACTATAATTCTGATTTTTTAACAAACTTCAACTTGATAGAACCACATTCAAAATAAATGCTATGAACTAACAGTTTGAACTCATGAAACAGAGTGAAAAGGCTTAATTTATTCATTAATAGTTTTATCAACATTAATTATCTGTTTCATATACGAATACATGAAATGTGCAATTAAAAGTTATTCATGGATACTAGTAGAATAATTAGTAAACACTAGCGAATAAAACTATCTTCGAAAACTAAACAAGAATGTCTTAAAGGAAGACAGATGTCGATCTAATGGTAAAATTCGCGTTGTTAACATAATCGTGAAAATTTCTTTAAAAAAAGTATGTACGTACTAGTCAACATATAACTAATCAATTTATGGCATTTCTATTAGTACAGAAATGGAAATGTGATTATGTACAATAAAAGCTCTGGTTTTCTTTTCCAAACATGCATTTATTACTAACAACTTTACAATAGTAATTCAAAAACAGGTCCAAACTGATCATTCAAAAATCTACTTATTTAAACTGAATTTTTAAAATTATTCCATACACAATTTAAAACAAAAAGTTTATATTCCTCGATAAAACTACAATGAATACTGTTATACAACTTTAGTAAGAATAAGCACGTAATTTCAAATACAATGTTTTTCATTTGTCAAAAACTCCGCAAATTTCTTATTGATTGTAATACGAATATGTTTTTACAAAACGAATAAAATTTCTACGGCAAAAAATTCCCGAAGAAGATCGAATTCTATTTTAAAATATCTGATACAGGGACGTTAGAATAACAAGTAATAATAACTAATACAGCAGTGTGCGAAGTGTACAAGAATTCATTCCATTCCCGTTGAATACATTCCATCCGAATTATTATTATCTTGCTAAACCTAGAACGGTCGATAGCTCCGCAGTCGTTGTGACTCAAAGTCGGGCCGAGTCGAACCGAGAAGAGTCGAATCAAACCGAACTGGACTGTGTAGTTTTGTAGCGCGTCAACGCGTAAAAAGGGCAAGTGCGAAGCGATAGATCATCCCAATGAAAGGATTGCATGTATATGTATATGCCCTCACTAGAAAGTCTTTCTTTCATTTCGATACTTTTTCAACGAATTATGCCAACCAATGGTGACGAACAATTTTCAGCGTAATTTTAAAATATACCGCAACGATAGAAAGGTACGCGCTAATGAACAAGACAACGGTATCTCTACAATACATATAATGTGCGTAACTTATTCAGGTTGTGCATTCAATGGACCAAAATATGCATTACTAATTTTATTCTAAAAATATGAAATGAAATAACATATGTTTTCTATTGTAAATAAAATATAAAAGTTATATCTAATTTATAATTGAAAATAGAATTATAATCTTTGAGACTGATACAGAACAGTTGTAACCATATTGTTAAAGTAATAAAATAGTGTCGCATTTATCGAAGTCTTATGGAGACCTCGGACGATCAATATAACGTACACATCTCAATATTTTAAGATTCTCACGATCAATAGATATTGCCAATATTTCAATATTTTCAATAAATATTAATTCCAAATTTTCAAATTCTCAAGTTACGGAATTTTCAAACCTTCAAAACCGGATTCCTAAATTATCTAATCCTAATATTCTTAATTTTTCAGTACCTTCATTCTTCAATTTTTCAAGTTTTCAAGTTTCCAAATATTCAATTTCGGACACTTTTAAATGATCAAATACTAAATCTCTAAACTTCCAAATTCTCAAATTTGAAAGATTCCTAATTTTTCTAATTTCCACAGTTACCAAATTTACCAAACTCCCAAATATTCAAGTCCTAAATATTAAAATCACTGAATTTTCTAACTCTGAAATTCTTAAATTTCTAAATTTTCAAACTACCAAAAAAATTCAAAATTTTTGATTTTCCAAATTTCTAAATTTTCAAATTCCTATATATCCTATAAATCTAAATTAAAAAATTTCCGAATTCCAAATTCCACAATTTACAATCGATATGTTCTTTTAATAAATTCATATAAATTAATGAATATCCTGAAATAGTGACGATATTGACAATACATAATTGATCGTCAAAGATTTCCATTATCTTGCAAGTAAAAATAAATCTGACTTGTGAATGTATAAAAACTTATTGTATTTTTCCTAATTTTTCACATATATCAAATGCTCACATATATGTTCATGCAACATAAAAAAATATGCACACGTATTTAAAACAGAGTTGGTGATTATTCGAATAATCTCCAAATGCAAATTTTATATAAAACTATATTACAAACAACGAATAATTTTTTAATCAAAATAAATCGAAAAATTCTAACATACAAATTATGAATAAAATGAAATTATTTGAAAAATAACTAATAACTTCTAAATCGAATAAATTTTTATTCGAACTGATTATTTGTGTCTTATTTTATATTTTTATTCGAAATTCTTCGAATATATTTTTATACAATTTAAAAAATTTTTCTTCCTCAAAAATTTTTAGTTTGTTCGAACTTTTAATTTGAACGTTGTTGAGTAATACTCAACTTTGATATCACGTCCCTAACGTTTACGCACGTTTTCGTGTTATGAAGGAATATAATGAATGTGTGTTCTATATAGGTATATTGGGTCTATCATGTAAAAACAATAGAGATAGAAAATGAAAGTGGCGCAAATATTGGTAAGAAACGTTTCGTTAAAAAATTATAAAAATATTGTTTTAATATAACAGGTTTATTTTAACGAAAAGTAAAATTATACACAATTTTTTTTTTCATCTAAACTAATGCAGAAACATATTGCATTAAAAATACATATAATGACATGAAAAGTTAAAATAAATTATTATTAAGTTTTCATATAAAAAGGTGTATCGATTTTTTGAAAAGTCATAATTTTAACAATATTTTATTGAGTGCAAACAAAACACTAACTTCCAAATTTAGGAAAACCAAATTTTAATTCATTAAACTATACATTTTATAGTAGTTGTAGAATTATACTACGTTTTATGTTTATTATACAGCTATCTATTATTTTAGTCGTTATTTATAACTTTAAATAATCATAAGGACAAAAGAACTATTGAAAAAATACATTGAAGTAATTTAAGAAATGAATATACACGTGCGTAAATAAATTTCCCACTTGTATAAGCGGTATTTAAATAATATATAAAAATAGTTAATGCATCAATTATCGCTGGAAATTTTGTTACATTATGCCAAATATTTTAAGTAAACACGTGACCCACATTTTATATAGATTGGAATATTAGAAAATTCACGCACACTACAAATATTCAAAAACATCTTGAGCAAACAGTAAAAAATTTAGATAATCACTATGAAATGTAATAGAATTATAATGCTTACATTTTTCAAATCAATTAAATAGAACACCGCGCGTTAGCACACGAAGGAAAACAGAAGAAAACAAAGAAAACTGAGAGAAATTATGTTAAAAAAATTAGATTTTGTGCGACCACATTTTTAATTCTTAAAACTTTTAAAAAGATTATTCCATTTACAGTGTCTGGTAAATAAAAAGGAAACAATAATATGAAACTTTAAACTACAATGTTCAAAGTTTTTTCTACAAAGGAAGGTGATCTTGAACTATGAATCTTAAACCTCCATAAAATATCATGTCACTTCCTCGCAGCAAAGCAAAAAAGATGAAAATTGAATTTATTTTACTTTATTTAATTATTCGTAACAAAATTTACCGACACAAAATTGCAAACTGCAAAATTAAAGGAATATTGAAATCTAGAAAAATTCCGAATTTAAGAACGATAATCAGGAGACGAAAATAAGTCCTCTAAGGTGAATTGAATGCAACAAGTTTAGTGTGTGCTGTATATTTTACAGATTTAAGGTGGGCATTTATAAAACATCAATATTGCAATATCAAACTGTTTTTTCCGATCAGAGTACTTCACGGATAACTGATAAGGTTCTTGATTCTTATGTGATTGACTTACATAACAGTGGGCGTGTGCTCAAAATTAAATAGTCGATTTAAGACAATGCAAAAATAAGCGTTGAATTTTTCGTGCTCGTGTTTCACGAGCTCAGAGAGAATAACGAATGCGGAGTCGAGAATGCACCGAAGTACCTTCCCGAGTTGAATTAATTCAAAAATAAAACCGAGCCTAAATTTTACTAATATTCAACGAAAATGATAATCAAAACTGGGTAAGTTAGCTATTGAAAACAGTTTTCGTTTTTGTAACCGTAATTTTCTGGACATTAATCGCAGACATATTGTCATTTAATTAAAAAAAAAAGACGAATTAATCGAATGGGTTGCACAATTATCGAATGGACAATGATTACTATTTCCGTATTATTGACTATAATAGCGAATCACTGATTTGGTTACCTGTTCAAAATATAATACAGTTATTCATGTTCAAGATATTGCAAGAAAACGAAGTCAATATATACGGAAGAACGACACGTCACCATAGGTTCAACAGTTACGTTTCCCAACAATATGCATTTCGCAATTACAACTTCGAGAATCAAGAAAAAAAAGGAGCATCATACTAATTCATCCACAAATACGATATTTTGAACATGTAACAATTATATAACATACGTACGATTCTCTCTTTTTTTTAAATTAATCACACGCTGCGTTGTTATCTTCAAGTTCATACGAAAAGTGGTCGGAATAAGATATCGCCTATTATTAGATTCGCTATTTCAGGATGTTGAATACTCTCCAGTATGCTCACGTTGTTCCGGACAGCATTATTAATACCATTTTTGCTACCCGGCGCAGAAATCACACGATATATCACTAGAACACAATGGGTTCGTTGAGGCAACACCTTTAAAATCATTGAGAAGCGAAAGAAGCACGATCCACACGGTCTAAATACGCAGGCAGCCAGACACAGCAATCGTAGCACAGGAAAATTGCAGAATAACACTCGGTCGGTAACTTCGGCACCATAAACCACTACGTAAACATGATATTTTTAATAATCCTTAGAACATGGTTAAATATGTACATTGTATACGTGAAGGGCACAGAATCCAGAAGCACGATACACGTAAACGATCAAATGGAATGAAACGAATAAACTACCGCGGGTATGGATAAACGAATCAATGAGCAACCGACGAACGGACAAACGATTAGAACGCACTTCAAATGTTGCAGATGAACATACGATTGGCAAGCACGGGACACAATATTGCGGTAATGCGTTCTCGGCTATAACGCTATCAAATACGTGGTTTCACTCTTGTACACTATTTAACAACACCATATAACTGTATAACTGTTTAGGCTTAGATACAGGTGCAGAAATAACCGTTTTCTCTCTTTTCTCTGTACCAGTCTCCTTGTTTATCTTAACCGAAGAATAAACAATAACTGGAAAAAGAGGAGGTGGAGAGGAAAGGAAGGGATAGAATGCACTTTAAAATGTAATTTAAAAACATACGTGTATATATATTCGACGTACGTAAGAGAACGAAGTAGAGAAATTACGTACACTTACGCATATTGTACAAAGAAAGGAAGATGGAAAGGAAGAATTGTGTGTATGCGTGCGTGTGTATATGTGTGTGCGTGTGTATATGTGTGTGCGTGTGTATATGTGCACGAGCGCGCGCGCGCAGGTGTGTATGGTGTCGTGTCCGTGTGTATATACGCGAAAGAAAGGAAGAAAAAAAAGTGTGAAATACGTTTCAACAATTTTTTCTGTACACCAACATTTTCTTTGTCGACACTGTCTACAGTTTTTGTACTCCTCGAAGGAGGCTGAACACGAACGAAAAACGGCTCGGTTAGTTTCACCACATATTTCTCTTCTCTTACCCGAACTAGTCCGTGGTATTCCTGAGTGGCGGCCACGGTGATTAAAAAACACTCGCGTCTTACATTCGCGCCCCAACGAAGGGTAGTCGAAATCGTACGGTCAGTCCAACGTTTTCAGGGCCGCCAGGTTAACGTCACGAAATCCACCGACACAACCATAGATCCAAACGGTGGACGGACGGACGTAAGGACGGACGGCTGGCTGGCAGCAGGCAAGGCGGAACACAGGGAGGTCCGGGGGAAGGGGCATTGAATGCGGCAGGGTGAGGGTAAAGTTTCTGGATACGGGGCAGGTGGGGTCATAAGGGATCGGGGATGTATGAGTTGGAGTGGGGTGAAAACGAACGAGAACGAGCGAGCAACCGAACCGTCCGACGACGTAGCGTCGCGGGGGACGGAGGTTTACGCTAGCTCAGGACCGTTTTGTCGTGGTTTCTCTGGCACCACGCTTCATCGCCTCTCACATATTTTTTTATTTTTTCTCCTTATTTTCACGCACCTTACTCTATCGATCGTTCGATCGTGCATCATCTATCTCAGATACGTAGACTTTCTAACCACGCAAACATATGGAACCACTAAATCCTTATTTTACCTACGTTAACGACACGACGAAAAGAGACATACGTGTATTCCGAAAGATCCGAACAGCTTAAAGGTGATAGCTTAGAAACTAAATACGACATATATTTATGTATTTATAGATATTAGTACTAATTTGTGAATATTTTAAATTTATATTTGAATGTATTCGTTCATATGTGAAAAAGATTCAAGAATGAGGATCAGGAGATCGCATTATATTTTCTATGAATTTTAATGTTCAAACAGGTCACTCAGGTTTGTATCGGTATAATAGTCGAATGTATATTGTTTATTGTGTACTATCCTCTTGAAAAACAGTTAACTAAATAATTCGTATCATTCCATTTGTTATTTAATACATACTTGTATTTTTACCGCAGTCTATTTAAATCTTCCGTTTAGATTTTATCATTCTTTGCGTAACATGCAAAAAATTCTTGTCTGCATTTTTGAATGCACTACAAAAATGCAATAAACATATCATATTAACAATTTCTGTTAATACCGATAATGTTAGTAATGTTAAGTAATTTTTGCTTGATTGCTACAGCTCACAAACTGGGTTCAGAAGTTTTTAGCGTGTATAAAGTTGCATTATACAAAATGTTCGAACATAAAAAAGTTAGAGAGTCACAAAGTCACGATGCATTTTTAAAAATAATTTGCTCACAGTTACGCATAATTGTACATAAAATATAAAATAAACATTTCATTTGTGTTCAAGTTAAGAGATATATGATTTTTCAAACATTAATTCGCCTATTATTTCATAGTTTATCGGTAATATGGCTATGGTTGCGCAGTATATTGCAGTTAAATTCATATCTCGTCATATGAAAAATAATTCTTTGATTTACAAATGTCTAGATGATTACGTTTAATTATATAAAACTGCATGTTCACAAATATGCATAAAACCTAAGATGAAATGCTGTATACGGCACTGCATCTGGCACAAGCAAACTTGCTGCCTTGTGGCCGGGTAGAAGGGAAGAGAAGGGTTGGGGAGGGAAGAGTACAGAAATGAAGAGAAGGGAACGAGGGGGTTGTGAATAGTACGGGTAGGGATGTCGGCCGTTGGCGGAGGAGGGTATTCGGTTGATCCTAGCCGCGCAAGTACGAAAGTCTGAGAGAGACAGGACAAGAGTCCGAACGAACGTAAAGGAACGAAATAGTGCAAGGAGGCTCGGCAACGATGCATTACTGGGATACGCATGGCAACGTCGCAAAAGGCTTCATGGACGCCAGGCAATCCACCAACACATGAGTGTACAGAGAACGGCAGACCAGAGAAGGAAAGAATCCCGTTTTACCGAGTTGGAGGAGATAGAAAGAAGGAGAGGGGACCAAATACACGAGAGAATGAGAGATCTACCAAGTCTTAAACAGGCTACGAAGTTTTCCACCAATCTCTTGAAATTTCAGAAAAACGTTTAACATATTCCAAATGCCCGTATTTACAACATATACGCACCAGTGATGTAGTTCTGTTCGGTTAACGCGTCACGCATCTTGTACAACTATGTACATATGTACGTTTGAACGGCTTACTAGTTCACGTTTAACAATTAGTAAATAAACCGGAACCTTATTGTAGTATCTCGGCATTTAAGATATATAGTATACCCATAAGAGTGTATTGTACTCATATTAAAAACAAATATTCTGTTCAATTTATGTAATTTATTCATTGGCAAAAAAATAAAGATATACATCTATGTTACTAAGTTTTAAGTACATAGGTTCATCGACGGTTGTTTTAGATGGAACATGTTATTATTGATAATTGCAAAACTTCAAGTTACATTAAATAGATCGTTCCAAACTTTCTATTAAGATTTCTAATCTCAAATGTACATTATATAATCGAGTCTACAGTGTAAAAACATGAAGACTATTTTCGACAGAAATATCTGAGACAACAATGTTTACGGATAAAAGCGATAATGAAAGAATGAACTACCGCTTTATATTACAAATGGCACGATTGTATCGCAAGTTGCAAATTTAAAATTTACTTAGAGAGGAACGGAATATGTTGTCTGACAAAAGATGTCTGATCATCAATGTCTCAGAGGTGTAGACTATACACAAATTGGTTCCTGTATCATTTCCCAATTACTAATGCATTATACATACTGTTCAACATTTTATAGGAATCATACTTTTTTCCATTATTTCGCTGAAACGAGTGTACTGGCTCGTGACGTTTCTAAATATCTCTAATCGATACGTTATACTCCTTATACCGAGAAATAATAACAAAAGTGGAACTATAAAACGATAACACTGATTACTCGATGGCGAAAGGGTGTGGCAGCGCCATTGAGTCGTTACACGCAGGAATAGAGCAAGTAGTGGGATAATACGTGCGATTGCGTATATTTGTGTGTGCGCGCGCATGTGTGTGTGTGAGTGAATAAATGAAAAAAAAAAAGAAGAAAAGGAAACAGAAGTGAGAAAGAGTGAGAAGGGCGAGGGGGGGAAAAGGATAGAAAGAAACGATTGAAGTGCAAAAGAAATGAAGAGGACAAAGAGTGAGACGAACATACAAAAAGAAAAACAAAAATGAAGAGAGAAAGAGAAAGAGTGAGAAGGCGGTAGAAGTGGCGGAAACTCAGAGCGGCGGAGTGCGGATGGGGACAAGGATGAACCACCTTAAAGGGGATAGTATGAATCATAAGTAATCAATATTATACCTGCGACCGATATAGAAAAATTTTGGGCAACATTTAAATACTGTTACATTTAACTTTTTGAATCATCGAATTTAATTTCATTTTTCAGAAATATTTTTACCTGATACGTAATTCTCCTCCAAACATAATCTTAGTAGCAACCCAGCTGTATTTTCAGTATCACTGTTTTCTTAATATGTACAAAATGTAGGTATGCCGGATATTATAAATATAATAAAGTAGTTTTTATATATATTTACTTAATTGCAATTAATTACAAATCACAATTGTAAAATGTTATGATTATATTGTGTTAAAGTACAAAATTTATATTATATATGCAAATAACAATTTAATAAAAATTTCAAACAATATTTAAAGAAGCGTATTGAAAAAGTTATGTGCAATTTTCTATACATATTACAGGAGAAAATAATATTAAACAATTTTGGTGGAATTATCAATTTTTATAAACAGTATAATATTTATGTCTCTTTTGTATAACAAAAATTTGCATATTGTTTTACTAGTGATGCTATCACTTAACCCGTTATACAGTTTCCTTCTGTGAATTGTATACACACACATATGTATAATGTATATATTTATTTCGTTCGCAAGATGCTAGTAAAGTAATTGTATAACTTTTAACGTTTTAAAAGCTGTGTTTTATACTGTGAAATTTTCCTTTGTACTCAAAATTAATTTTAATTGTTAGTATTTACATATTTCTATATTATTTTATTTTGGTGGTTTATTTCATTAAATAATACACTTTTGTATGATATAAAAATGTAATTGACCAATTTGTAAAACAAAAATAATGAAAGTATAGGTTAGGTTAATACATATATAAGTATAATGTTTTAAATAATGAATCTTAGAAGTTACTTTCTATTTCAAATTATCATTATTTGTGTTTTTCAATCTCCTTTTAGTTCAAGTTTGGTGTATATATATTTTCCAACTTCAAACGAGTTTGAGCATCAAATTTTGGTTAAACGTATTTATTTCTTATTATTTGTATTCACTTATAGCGTTATATAATTTATGCATGTATATACACGGAAATAGGAATATGTAAAATACAAAGAATTGCATAAATACGCTAAGATAACTCGATATTACATAATATTATCTATTTAAAAGTCATTATTTAATATTTCATTATTATCTGTTATTCAAATATTTAATAATATTATTTATTAATGCCTGTTCCAAAGTTTTCTACTTCTTTTATTTTTTGGTTTTCTAATTTACTACATCAATTTTAATTTCAATTTCTTATTGATATTTTACTTCTCATTTTCTTCAACTTTATAGTTCTTGTGTACTTCACTAATTACTTCCCTATGTACTTCCCTTTTACGTTTTTCTTTTCATTTCCTTTAACAAAAGTTTTAGTGCTTAGAAACCCGAATTTTCAGAAAGGTACATAATACATATTTTAAATTTTTAAATGCATGTATAATAAATTTAATCATTATATTACCACCTATATTACACTTTCTATGAATTATATTAATATAACATTTATGTTGTAAAATATTTATTTTATACATCAAACTTATCATTGGAAACAACAACAAAAGTATTTATAAGAATGAAATATTTACAATGAAAATTGTAATTATTATACATGTATTAATATATTTACTTATTCTACAAGAATTGTATTTAAGAGGAATACATTTATTTATTTATTAAACTGTAGTGGTTGACTTGATTCTGATATACCAAACATATTGGCTAGTATATTAGAAGCAGCTACATTTTTAGCTTCTTCTATGGTTTGCCCAAATCCTAAAAATATACTTATTAATTATCAATTATAAGATAAAAATTACATTTATTTCAGTTTGTTCTATACCTGAGCCTAAAAATTCTTTATTTGAATAAATTCCAATATGATATGCTGATAAAATAGTATTTGTTCCAGCTTTTCCAATTATTCGTGCTTCTATAGATGTATTAGTTTCTTTAGACAGGAAATCACGTAACATTTCAAATGGCTGTACTGGATTCCATATTTCAGTAAGATCTTTCTCTGCTAATCCTACTATTAAGAAATCTTTAATAAAATTTCTTGCATGATCAATATTGACACTTTCAGCAAGTGCTCCTACTAATGCTAGAAACGTTTGAGCTAGTGTTTCTTCGTTTGCTGGATGTTCCTAAATGACATAAAAAATTAGAATTATACAGTAATGCACAATGAATATAATAATATATGTAAATGAATGTAAGATAAAGTTATATATACAAACAGCAGTTAGGATAATATCCTTTGTTCCAATATGTAAAGATGCCTTTGCCAAAATTGTTTGAGACATAAGATAATCATGTAATGCCCTACAAGAATAAATTTACATTAACATACATCGGTTCTTATGGAACAATCTATTGTAGAATAAGCAGTAGAATAATAAACTAATTTTATATGTTTGTATGATAATTTTATATTTAAATACTTTGTTACATTTTAAATATGTTTATTTTCAAGGATAGATGTTATATTAAACCATTAAAATATAAATACAACCTTAAAATCATTTATTTATATGATTATAGTTTTTAAAAGTTCCTTATAATCAAAAAATTTCCACGCTGAACTCTTTTACACTTTTATATTTAATTACTACACTTTCTTGTTTTCTAAAAATTTGCTCAGAACAAAAATAAATTGTAGAAATTTTAAGAATGGAAAACAGTCAGAATTCTTCAATGTAAAGAACAAATGCAATCTTGAAATTAAATTACATTATTAACATTTTCAGATAAACCATTATTTTTATGAATGCATCAATATAATCAAACATGTAAATTACTATGAGATTCATTATATTCCATACATTTTTAGGAATATTTAAAACTTATTGATCAGAAAATATTTTCATTGTATCAATAACATTACATAACATATGCAATGGTCAATATAATAGTTTTCAATCAATTATATAAAATAATTAATTTTAATACAAGTTTTATCTAACTTTGGTGTGACAAGATATATTAATGTTTTATATAATCTGGATCATATTTAAACATATCAAAAACATTATATTAAAATAATTTACATCTAATAAGGCTGTACATACATGATACCTAATTCAGGAAGGTTTGGCAGTTCTTCTCCTAAATGTGTTTTTATAAATTCTGAAGTTATTTCTTTTCCTTTTTTAATAAATTCTTCATTGTCTTGTATATCAAGCTTAGGATCTGATATGCCCATTTCTTCTTGTTTTTTCAATTCTTCGAGTATATATGATTTATGTACAAATGCTTGATTTAGTTTTTCTATATTAAACTTTTCTTTCAGTCTCTCATTAAATGCAAATATTTCGGCATCCCTGTTCCATTCGATAAAAGTATTCCGCTTTGGTACAGTTTCATCTTTTAACAATCTTTTTCTACGACTTAATTCTTTCTTAGTTGGAGCTACCCATCGCTTGATGTGTCTGTAACCTATGATTATAATTAGCACATAACATACATATTTTACGTTGTCAAACATAATAAGAATTACAATTAAAATACTTACCTCCATAGTTTATTGAATTTATACTTGCAAGATTTGTTAAACATAAACGTAATTTATTCATGTCTGCAATTTATGCAAAACCTAATCTGAACCTTTCTATTAAAATATTATATGCCACTTGAAAACAAACCGTTCTTAAAAGTGTATATTATATATATTACACGTACACTTTTTTTCGCAAATTTATTATTAATAATACAATATATTGTACTATTGTCATTTATAAGGATTGTTACAAATTCTCTACATTTATTTAATTTTTATTATATATGTACCGTCTTCTCGTGTACAAAGGTATAGTATGTACCAATTACATACGTGCCATCTTTCGAATATAAATTCCACTACAAATCTGACTTTATTTGCGGGTAAAGTTTGGTGACAAAAAATATGACCTCGGGTCAATCTACTGAATGAGTGTCCCTAGATATGAAGATCTTATGTATTTTTTGGTTAGGAAAAACAAGGATAGTAAATATCTATTTTTCAAAAATGTGGAAAACCGAATTCTAAACGCCAATGGCATTTTGTTAAAAAGTAATATTTCGTCATGATTTCTTTTGCATATTACTCTCAAAACTCTAGTCTAGGTCGGTAAAGATCTCGATTCTGGAAAAATAGAACGTGAAAAATTTTCTTCTATAAAAAACTCTAGTTTCCAGCTCATAAAATTTTTGTTGATAAAATTGCAAAATCGAGAACTTGAATGTAAAGTACGCAATGAAATAGTTTGCTTCAAAATGTAAACGTGTACTTCTGAAAATTTTATTATATATCGCTTTCGAAAATGCCTAAGACTACGTTTCCATCGAGGGTCCAAATCGGGTCAGAGTCGGGTTAGAGTCGGGTTAGAGTTAAGTTGCCTTGCCTGTTTCCATCGGATCAGAGTTACGTTGGGGTTGGAGTTGGGTTGAACATTACCAACTGCACAAAGTCAACTACCATATTCTAACATGTAAAGCTGAGCAATATTAATTTTAGAATATCAAAATAACATACAAAAATTATTTCTCAGATTACAAGATCAAATTTTACACGAAAGTGACTGCATATTGATCGAAAAAATCGACAAACGCATATATGCGCCTTTAGTCCATGCCAATGACTTAGAGAAAACCCATTTATGCGACCTTAGGCCACGCGGATGACTTTCGCCAAACCCATATATGCGTCCATAGAGCTCAAAGGGTTAACAAAAAAAACACAATTACTCGATAAATTAATAATTAAGGAAATAGTTTTTTAAGTGGTTGATATTATGCAAAATATCACTATAATGAAAGTTTACACTAGTATTTTTGAATTGAAAGAAATAGCTTCATTTACAAATAAACCAGTTACTAAAATTGAGAGTGCTTTTGCAGGATTTAGAAATAGTTAGGATTTGATATTTAAGTAAAAGGGTATGACTAAAGTTTACTTTTATAGCTTAAAGAAGATAGAGAATACACAAGTAAAAAATAATTTAAGCCCGGTAACCAGCATTTTATATAATAAACCAAGTCAACTTAAAATAAAGAAAATATACCAAAAACCAAAGAAATTAACTTTAAACTGCACAATAAGGTAACTGACATTATGTTGGTCATTGGACAAGAAAAAGTTGGTAAGATTCACCCACTAACTAAAGTTATAAATGAAGCAATTTTCATTTTTACACACATAAGCTTTAAAGTAGTAAATAGTTCTGGCATAGAGGATGAATTTCATGTATTCGAAGCACTGAATATCCCAAGTCATTGTCTTACAAAACAAAAGCAAGACACCTTATACTCAAAGAATAAAAAAAATAGCAAGAGATAGTGTTGCAAATTTATATATCGTATACGGACTAGAACCGTAGGAAAGATGAAAACTTACCGAATCCAAATAGTAGTAGTCGGACTGGTATACATAACCAATTTTGATGCTAAGCTACATGTTAACGAAAATGTAAATGTGGGCCTGTAAAAGTTCACTATTCAATGATTTTTTAGATATCAGACAAGTATAAATTTAAATACAAATATAAATCCTAATTTAGACAATGTGTTTAAAAGTTTATCTTACCAGTAACATTCAAACTTAAAATAAGTCATAACAAACGTAACAATTATATTACAGTGAAACATTGCAATTGCACTGTTTTTCTTTTATACTTAGGTATACGATAATTCCATGTGTTTTATGAATTAATTTGACATAATTGTTACTTTTGTGTGTTACAACCCAACTTGAGTTTAAATTCAGTCAGAAAATAAATATTTGAATATAGTTATACCGGTGCTAGCCAAAGCTACTAGAACGAATGTGAATGGTGTGAAGTTCGTCGAATGTTCTCTGTCTATTTACTGTGTTTTTGGTTAGGAGAGACAATGACGGTAAATATGAAGTTACCAAAAAACACGCATTCTCCTGACCAAAACGACGCTGCGAAGAAGTAATATTTCGACATGATTTCTTTTGCACACTATTGTCGATCTCAGGGTCGATTTTGGAAAAATGGGACGTGAACAATTTTCTTCTATAAGAAATGTTAGTTTTCAGTTCATAAAATTGTTTTGGACAAAATTGCAAAATTGGCCCTGAGACCGACTTAGACTACGTTTCCATCGAGGGTCCAAATCGGGTTAGAGTCGGGTTAGAGTTAAGTTGCCTTGCCTGTTTCCATCGGATCAAAGTTACGTTGGGGTTGGAGTTGGGTTGAACATTACCAACTGCACAAAGTCAACTACCATATTCTGACATGTAAAGGAGAGCAATATTAATTTTACAATATTAAAATAACATACAAAAATTATTTCTCAGATTACAAGATCATCGACAAAAAGTAATAATAACCTCTTCTACACCAATTAATACAACACGTGATACACAATGCAATTTGGATTTGTTATGTTGGCAACACGAACTCGACTCTTGTCGTTTTCACCGAACCTCAACTGAACGCTACCCTAAAATTTTGTAGGGTAGAGTTCAACTAAACCTTTGGCGTTTCCACCGTACAAGCGCTGACCCCAACCCGACTCTAACCCGACTCTGACCCGATTTGAACCCTCGATGGAAACGTAGTCTATGATAGATTAGGCATAATATTTGTAAATGTATAGATATTTTGTTTTTGTTACTATTCTCCCCAGAGATGTCAGTTTTGCACTTGAGTATACTTCTTTCCCCTATGTTATTATTTTCCCTAGAAAATCCTGTATTGTTTAGCAGTGCATCTGCATACTATTCATTATTTTATGGTGCTTACAAGGAAATGAAGTACAAGTGCAATTGTTAATTGAACTTTGTATCATTGTAAAATTTATGAAATTATATTAAACTTTATAACTGTATTTATTGATAAAAGATTTTTAAGTTTAACAGTTATTATTATTTTGCAGTGTTTTGGATGCAATGAAATAACCATTGTATATATTACAAATAAGTATTTTGCCACCAAATTTTTCTAAAATAGTTTTATTAATGAAGCTGATTATAAATCTGTGAAATTAAGTAATACCAAACAATGTTTCAATCAAATCCGGAGCCTGATATACCTGCAGCTTTAGGTTTGCTTTCTCACTTGACCAATGACGAACTGAAAGAATTGTTAAATAATGATGGGAAATTTGAAGACATTGTAAAAGATATAAAACAAGTAATTTTTGTGACTTATATAAAATTGCACTATATTTATTTTATATAAAAATATACAATTAAAATCTGTGTTTTGGAATCAGTTTAAGGATTTAGAAACTGAAAAAGAAATGTTAATGGCAAGTAATAGGTCCTTAGCGGAGTTTAATTTATCAAAACAACCAGAATTACAGGAAGGAAAACAAATATTAAAAGAACTCAGTGAAAAAGGAACAAAATTATGCACAAGTGTAAAGGAGAAACTGGATCAAATAAGTACTTTTCATTTTATTATTTTTGTTTTTAATATTTTAGCATTTTTTAAATTACATGTAGAAGTATATTAATGCACTTAATTAAGGTACATATATAAGATTTAATTTGTATATAACATCTGTAGGAGAAAAGTCTGGAGAAATGACAGTTGATACCGCATTAGATTTATTACAAACAGCAGCAACTGAAATTGAGGAAGAATCAGAGGTATGGTATAATTAATATCTTGTGAATACTTAATAATCAAAATCATTAAATGTAATAGTATTGTTATAAATGATAATAATGATTATTATGAATATGCAGACCATAGCAGAAAAATTTTTGGCTGGAGATATGGAAGTAGATGAATTTTTGGAGCAATTTTTATCAAGACGAAAATTGATGCATTTGCGTAAAGTGAAAGTAGATAAGTTAAGAGAGTTAATAAGAAAATCGCGTTCTGTTACTGGTGGTCCAGGTTACCCAATTGCTAGCAATTTCCCTGGTATAGCGCCTTCTGTTCCGTATCCAACTGGACCTGTTTCGATGCCAATGCCTGTACCATCTGGTTTACCACATTACAGACCATATTAAACTATCTCTAACAAACATAATATTGAAATTTAAAATGCTGTTCCACTATAAATATTGAACTTTCACTAATACGTAAGAAGTATGTATGACAAAAAATGCTATCAAGTTAATAGTAAACATTAACAAATATATATAACTAACAAATGTACAAAATTCAATAAAAAAATTATTTGTTTAATGTACAGAATTATGTGTTATAATAGCTGTAACAATAAATAACAGTAATATACATTATACATATACAGTAAATACGTTAACATATTTGGGTATAAATTATATAGAATTTCAATTAGAGACATTGTAAGTTACATGTACATTTTTTACTTAATATATTATTCACGATTTTTTAATTTAGTGTTCTGTGTAGATTGTTACTGTTCATATGACATATAGAAGTAGCATGTACAGTGTTCATTCTATATACGCAAAAATGTCCTTTACGATATAAGCAAAAATGTTATCCCCACCACGGGGGGGAAGAGCCCTCGAGACGCCCGAGGTTCACTCGCCGGGAAATGTAACGTGATTCGGACCTTAGTGTATCCGTGAGACAATACCAATGCAAATATAAAACTTTTTTATTTTTGACTTTTTCGTTATCAAACTTTTACCAATTAATTTTTGACATTTTTCCGATTAAAGTGAGACCAAACACGATATAATTTGGACTATATTTACTGGTTTAATTGACGATAAAAGTTTCTAACGCAGAAGAGGATAGCGAGTGAAGAAAAAAGCGACACTGCGGTCGTGGCAGTCGGCGAAGATCAAAAGTCTGATTGTTTGCAATGTTTAAGCATCATATTCGTGACATTTTCCTGACTAAAATGAGACCAAACACGACATAATTTGAGTTATATTTACTTGTAATATCTTATTAGAGTAAAGTCATCGATGTACGAGGTAACACTTGAAATTACAAGTAAATATGTCCCGAAGTATGTCGTGTTTGGTCTCATTTTAATGAGAAAAATGTTACAAATATGATGGAAAAAAAAAGTCATAAATAAAAAAGTTTTATTCTTACATTAGGAGTGTCCTTCCAGTAGGTCACTGTTTGTTTACGTTCGGTCTCCTTCGCTCGAAATATA